CCCTGTGTAGGATGGAAACCACTTCAAACCAGGGGGTGCTGCCGCTCCTGCCCCCCCAGCGCCCTGAATTCCAGCCCCCCCCTCCCGTTCAAAGAACATTTCTTAGTAATTCATCGGGGTGAGAGACGCCTTTTCAAACATTTCACCAGAATCAATATGGATTGAGATTCATAACAGTGTCTATTAGTAAATTAATACATTATTTAATAATTATTCATATCTGGAACTGGGATGTGAATCAGTAGTGTAGCTAGCGGGGTTCAGGGGAAGCGGCCGCTTCCCCTGACCCCATTCCCCAAAAGTGGCGCTCCGGCCGGCTGGCGGAACGGGGCTGCGGGCTGACCGGCTCCCGGCGCTCCAGACGGCCAGTGGAATGGGGCCACAGGGTGGCCGGCTCCCAGCGCTCCCACTGGGACTCCAGCCCTGAGAGCATTGCCGGAGGTCTCGGTGCCCCAGACAGCGCTCTGGATGGGGAAGTGGGGCGGCCCTGTGCATGCGCCGCTCCATCTTTCGGCAGCATTTCGGTGCATGTCAGGGCCGCCGAAATGCCACCGAAGGACTGGCACCTTTTTTCGCCACCGCTCCTCCTTGGCTGCAACCCTGGCCACGCCACTGATGTGAATGGCTGTAAATAAGAAAATACTTTTTGGGATATTCTAAGTGCCATTAAGGTAAGAGAAGATAATTCCCAGAGGTGAAATTCCATGTCTGGGCTACACTCTGCTAAATATCATACCCAAGTTTCTATTCTGTATCTGATTTGACAGTGGCGATACTACATACATGAAAAAAAAATCAACCAAAAGCAATGGTCAACCAAATTGTTGCAGATCCAGATTTAATGTTTTTACATAGTTTATATGGACAACAGTTACAATTTAAGAAGTCTGGAGGACTAACCCTGCTTCCTTCTTAGACAAATTAAGAACAGGCAAAATGGCTACATTTATCAGAACTTATTTCATAGTTGTATAAATATCTAAAATGTTATCATTAGTGTCACGTCTTTTCCATAGTGCACAACAAAAATTATATGAAGAAACTATCAGATACAATTGGCCCCCCAAAATATATTTATTATTTATATACAAACATACAAGACCTAACTTAGTGCACACTGTGGTCAGACTGATTTCAGATATCTTCTAAAACATGGACAACAGTAAGTACCATCAAAGGGCTCACAAACAACTTAAAGGGATAATTCAACCCTATTCCCACACCCACTACAATTAGTTAAATCAGTCTTTAATGTTGCTGGGACAGTTGCACAGTAGTAGTGTGGTTTGGTATACATTACTTTTCAAGTTACTTGGAGAACTCTTCATCTGTGCTATAATATCTCCAATTCCGTTCCTTTTAAATTCCAGAATTGCATCACAGAAATGCCAACTCTCGGTTTGATCAAGTTTTTGGAAACGTACAAAATGCTTCCCAGTGTTGTATGTCATCCTAACAGTTTTTTGCCTGTAATGTCAGTACCTTTGCTTTAATAAGTGCTAATGTTTATTCAAGTCACTTTGATGTTCTCTACTGAACTAATCAATATTTGGAACACTACTTTTAATATTAATCTTATATCCAAGTTACATTGAAAAGAGCTAAAGAGAGGGCAGACGAAGTATTTATCTGGCCTAGGAACATTTCTTTCTTTGAACAGCCATAGAATGTATCTGAAAAGATGCAGTGCTGTAAGAGTACTTTAATATAACACCCCAAATTCATTTTGTTTTCTCTCAACTTACATGCACAGAAATTGCTGGTGGAAACAGCTGAAGGTCACATTTTAGAATTTTTCTGTGATTGGACTTAATCTCCAGTGTAATGATTAAGATGCATGGTTCACCATTAATGAGATGACACTTACTCAATTGACATATGTTGCACTTGTTCACTTTGACTCTGAAATTGTAAAATAAGCAAAAAAGCTGCTAGTTATTATACTACAGATATTTTAACTAATGAATTTGTGCTTTTGTTGTTCGTGCTGAACACTAGTGACACCTGTGTTTACTCATTCCAAGGGGTTTTATTATAAGATGCAGTTTTGTGCAGAAGGGAATTTTCTTCACCAATTACGGCAGAGAATTCCTGCATAATCTGATGCTGTGTCTGCCTCTCCATAAAATGTTCTCCTGGTCTGTAATCTTGACACAACCAACTACTGCACCAAACACCCACATGGAGAGGGAACGTTGGTAAAGGTGCAGAAAGATCAGGAAATGGCTTCAGAAATTCATAGATATTAAGGCCAGAAGAGACCAGTCAATCATCTATATCATCTGCATAACACAGGCCATGATATTGCAATGTATTACCCCAATATGCAGCCCAACAACTTGTGTTTGGCTAAAGCATCTTCCATAAAGGTGACCCGACAGGTTTTGAAGACATCGGGAGCTGGAGAATCCATCACTTCCCTTGGGAGTTTGTCCCAGTGGTGGATCACCCTCACTGTAGAAAATTTGTTCTTATTTTCAGTTTGAAGTAGTCTTTCTTCCACTTCCAGCCATCGGTTCTTTTTTTGCCTTTGTAGGAGGAATATTTCAAGGGGGGAAGAAAGTAGGTTTTCAGGTACTGACCCTGGATACAAATGTTTATTAGTGAAGCTACTTTATGTGGGAGCCATTTCCCCCCCACCCCTCCTCCGCATACAGGGCTGTATTTATTTCCCAACTCCACGTCCAACTGCCATAACTGACAATACAGGGTTACTGTTACCCCAAAAAATGGCTTTTGGGGCACTTCTTTATAAGCCGCCTATTCCCCCCTTAGTCTGTTATTAGTGAGGTAAAAGTTCCTGGGGTTGTTAAGGAAACACTAAAGCTCACGGATATAACCTTCTGATAATGTAATTGGCATAGGCAGTATTCTTTTCAAAACAAAGTATCTGATTAATATAACTAATATTAATTAATATAAATAATCCCCAATAAAGTGCATCCTAAAACTCCTAATTAAGGCAGAAAAATCCTCGAGGCACAAATCCCATATTGCAAATTAAAGAGCACTTAAACTACAATAGCATATAGTTCAAATGATTCTAAGCAAAGTAATTCATTGCATGTAGCCAGTTTGCAACAAATCACTGACAACAGATCTTAAATTACTTTAAAATTTATATATCTATACACTGGTGCTGCATGGGGGTCGCACCGAGGGCCACGTGCTGCCCCTGGCCAACTGTCCGAGCTCCGGGGACGGGGACGACCAAAGCACACAGCCGCGTGGCTGCGCTGCCCAGCCCACTCCCAGAGCCTGGGGCCAGCCGGAGCACGCTGTGGCTGCACTGCCCAGCCCCCTGCCTGAGCTCTGGGGGTGGGACCGGCAAGAGCACACAGCTGCGTGGGCGCACAGCCTGGCCCAGCGCAGAGCTCAGGGGTCGGACTTGGGATACCTCCCCGGCCCCGGGTATGGTAGGATGGGGCCGGGGCGGGGGAAGGGCAGGATGGGGAAAGCGTGGGGGTCCTGGGCTAGGGATGGGGCTGGGAGGAGTCACGTGGGGAGATCCTGGTCCCCAGGCTAGGGGTGAGGCGGGGAGAGGTCACGTGGGGAGGTCACGTGGCACCCTTAGGGTGGTGCCCCTTTAGCCTCCCTCCCCACTAGCTGCTGCTATAAGTGTACTTAAAACACACACACACACTTAAAGCATACACATACTAACCCTATATACTGCCCTATACACTAAACCATCATTAAAAGAATATTAAGCTTACGCTATAAATCTGTTGCTGTTTTCTTTTAAAAGTCAAATCACTGCTATGGCTGCTGTTCAATTCCTGCTCAGTCAGCTCTGCCCTGCTCCAGCTTTCTTTTCTATCTCTGCCGCAGTTCTTCTTTGGCTTCTCTTGCTGGTTTCCCGGCTCTTCCTGCACGCCTCTCTCCTTTTCAGACCTAGCCTCCGGATTTCGAAACTATTGCTGGCAACTGGCCTTTATGGTTATGCTACATGGTACCTCTGTATCTTCCTATTTTTAGAAACAGTTCCCTCACTTGCACATGCTCAGTCTTGACCACTACCCCAGAATTCGGATTGACAGCTCTGACCTTTAAAACAAGGTACGACCAGGACGAGTGGCTGCCGACCAACCAGCTGCTTAACTGACTGGTCTGTCTGTTACCCCCTACTGCACATGCTCCATAGCTGCCGATCGCGCACATGCTCCCTGTTGTCCTTTTACTCCCCTCCCTCCCCCCGAGCTGTGATTCTGCAGAGACACATCCACACACACTTGGCTCTTTGCCAGCAGCCAGGGCAACTTTTTTTTCTGAAGAAATCCAAAGTTCTTATTGAGCCTGCTCAGGGCCCACAGCAGCCGTCGCAGGAGTGACTTCTCCTTATTCAGAATGGAGATCAGAGCTACAACGCAGAGACTGGAGAATTGTCTCTAGTCACTCTCACACACACACACACACACCCACACACACACACCCCTCTCTCCAACCTAAATCCCTGCTCCACCCCTACCCCCTGAGTCCTTCCCTACACACACACACACACACACACACACACAC